CCCACCCCTACCCACCCCCCACCCCCCTTACCCTAAAACAAAAGAAGCTAAAAACAGCCCATTACACACCAGTCCATGTTATTGTTAGAGATTTAATCAGTTTTTTCATTGAAGGTCCTTTTCTAAACAGAATTTGAAGCAGAGGTCCCCCACTCCATCCCTTTCAGGTCTTCTCTAAAATTGGCAAATTAAAGGGAATCACCTCAGTGCCATGCAACCCTAAGTTTTGTTCATCTGAAATGAAAAATATTGTGACCTATTTTTGAATAACCTAGCTAACAGCTTGCAAAAAATATATTTAAAATTAATAAAATAATAATCAGGCTACATCCACTTGCAAAGAAAATTATTGGGTCAAGTATCTTTTTACCATAATTACAAAAAAGAAAACATTTTTATAGAAAATCAAATAAATTATTTTGAAAGAATTTAAAATATTTTCAGTAGAAGCAAAGATAACAAGATTTTGATTAGCTTAAGATATATCATTAAAACTTATTAGCAGACCTAAGATATTACAGCAGATGTTTTTGAGCACAATTGAAATACCGTTGATTCAATTCAGTTGAAAGTTGGAATCTTTACCCATATATTTGATAGTAAATCCAACAGAAGCTCATTCTTCATTATCAAGAACACATCTTTTCAACTGCAAAACATTTAAAGACTGTATGAGACCTTTGTAGCAGAAGGAATATGGTGGGTACTTGACCCAAGACTCAATATTGAAGGTTCACCTTGACACTCAGGGGCTGTTTGTGGGATAGATGAGCATTTTTCGGAGGACGTAGAGGTGAATCCCTTGCACATATGTAGAGTATCAAAGATTATATCAATAAAGAAATTAACATAATATGTAATTCAATTATTTCTTTTAAGAAAATTTAGCATATCCATCATCTTTTATTCATTATAAGAAAAATTCTACTTGTTTCAAGATAAAGATATAGACTAAGCCCTCTGGAAACTTTCCAGCAACAAAACACCCAATTCTAAGATAAAATGCAAGTATATTATGTACAGATCTCATTGGAATCACAGCAATTAACATGCTCAATACACCTGTGAAACACTTGGTGTACCTGACTTCCAAATGCAATAAAGCGGCAATTGACGAAATGGGAATGCAAGATCCAAAGGATGTTTAAGAAGATCAGTAGTTAGTGGTACAAAACAAATAAATACTCCGTATAATACTACTTGTTCATTCATAAAAAAGATAGGCAATCAGTGTTGGAGAGTATGTTTGAATAAAAAGATCATTCTTTGTTCACCATTCATCAAGAGAATGTGTTTCATGAAAAAATAGACTTTTATACAACAACAAATCTGGTAAAATCCACAGGTGTATGGTTTGGGAGAGTATGGGTAAGGAAACCTTCCCCTAATGTTGGGAGGAAGAAGGAAGCAAGAGGCAGAAGGAAAAGGGAGCTCCCTTCAGTCCAAGCAAAGAATGAGCGAGGTAGAAAACTATCTCCCGCATCATTCACTCAAACAACAGTAGAACGTAGCACATCCTTTTTCTACTGAGTGATTGGATGAATGAGGCGGCAGCTAATTCAACCCCATTTCTCATCCATGAGTGGGCTGGAGGAAGCTCTCTCAGACCAATCCCCTAAGCCTTTGTACCTTCTTCGTTTTCATCATTGCTCAAATTATCACACAAAACTTCACAAATCATCTTCTTAGTGTATAAGCCTTCAGTAGTTTATTAGGAGATGCAATACAGCATGAGAAAAAAAACATCAGTTTTTCCATCTTAACCACACAGACAGTTCAGGCATGTTTGAAAGCCTGAGAAATGCAAGGAAATAAAATGCTGAGGGCAGATGCGGAGGAAAATAAATTTTTGGGGGAAAAACAGCTACCCGGAGTACTTCAAACTCAATAAAGCCACTTTTAGATCTTGGTTCAAACTCAATTTGTTTATAATTGTAGATATCTATCATATTAGGACAAAGAAACATTAATATATGTAAAGAAAATTAAAAGTTCTAATCAAATGTTAATTTCATTCATATTTTGAAAAGTGAAACCACAATTACAATTTTCCTTAGCATCACCCAAAAAAAACCCGTCATTTCTCTTCTAGCTTCTGCCCTCAAAAAAAATAGCATACATATACAAAATAAATGGTGCATGAAGAATTGGTAAGACATGGGTATATTCATGGGCATCATAGGTGGGTAGAAATAGCATATTGTATTGAAAATATTATAGTTGCCATTAAAACTAAAACACTTCTAAAAATAAGATAGATGGAAAATTTGTAATCTTAAAAAATATATATACATGTAACAATACGTAAGTTCCCATGTAAATTATACTTCAAAATATATACATATACTCCACACTTGAGAATGATAGGCCCTTAGCTAGCTTTTTTACTCAAAAGGGGCAAGCTAAGAACCAATTGTTCCACTTGATGAAGTATATGAGTAATGAAAACGATATAGCCCCTTCAATTCTAAAGGGAAAGATTATGCAAAAATACATATATACTCCGTATAAAGAGAAAAAAATGTGTGAAATCTCTACAGTAAAAGACCCTCTCAAATGGTTTAAACTTCAAAGAACAAAATACATTATTACTCATTAGAGTCCTCTTATGGTTTGCAAATGTCCCAAATCTTGTTTTCAGCATCTGCAAAAACTTAAATAAATTTCATATGTATGCATACCATCTTTAAAAGGTAGGATAATCATACAAAGCCAGAAAGCATCGGAAAACACATCACAAATTTCTTACCCACTCTTAATATTTAAAAAAAAAGTTTACAACCCAAAAAAAATACCAGAGCATAATCTTTCTGAAACCAAACAGAAAAAACATGGCAATATGACATTTGCAGGGAAAAAAACCTTTTTTTGTTGAGGGAAAAAAACATTTTGAATTATCAGACTGTACTTGAATGAAAAGTCAAAGAATTACACCAAAAGTATCATCCTTTCACTTTCACCCTAACTAAACCCAATAACTAATCACAGAAACTTAATTTTAATTCACTGGGTGAAGTTAACTCCTTCACAGAACTTATGCAACAATAATACCCAGGAAAAATCTCTCAGTAAGAAAAGCATGCATAAATAGCACAAGATTATAATAAAACCAATCAATTTGAATTTCCCAATGAAATCAGAACACAAGAAAATCTTGCAAGATACCATCTTTGAGCAAAAATACTGCAAAAAAAAGAGATATCAAAAATTAAAACAGAAAGAAAATGGGTGCACAGAAACCAGAAACCCCATATGGCCACATATATCTCCAATAATTCTTTGAACGCTTTATCATTGACGTCAGGTTCATAGTATTGTCATTTCACAGCAATGAATGAACAACACAGGGACATAAAAGGGCAGATCTGAAAAGTGAAGAAATCAATAAATTTAAAGAACGGAGAAGGGAAAAAATGAACAGTGAGAGGCAGCGTTTGATTGGAAGAAAAGGGTCAAAGATTTCTCCTTTTTTTTCCTGCGGAAATTAAGGGGAGTGGAGCGGAGAAAAAGGGGCAAACAGATATGGATATAAATACAAATGAAGATGAGGGGTCGCTTTCGCCATGAGAATCAGAGAAGAAGGGGGAAAGCGACAACATCTCTTCAAAATTGAATCTTTTTCTACACCCAAACACATCTCCAGCCATATATGTATACGGATACCGCATATAGATGGAGATATACATAGATTACATACATATACTCCTGCAAATTGATAAGAAATTTCATTCTTTTTTATTAGAAAGATAAAAAAAGCATCTGAAAATCCCACTCTTTGCTCAGTGGGTGGAAGAATGAAAATGACGAGTAGGTTATAATAATAAAAATAAAAAGGGAGCAATAATGCTATGAGTGCGTTGGGTAGATTTTATTGGATGAAATAAAGGTGGGATGAATATAGAAAAAAGAAAGAAAAAACTCTAAAAAATCGCACTATTACCGTATAAGAAATTTCAATATGAAAGTTGAAATCCTAAATCTTTTAAAATTAAAATAGAAGTACAATGACACTATGGTATTAGGGTACATGTTGATAGAGTGAGGAAAAAATGATGACAATATAATATGTTAATATGATTTGCCAACTATCGGGGATTCGCGTAATTACTATGATGACCGGTGGAAACGGATGATAGTATGACGATGATAGTGTGATAGTTAAAATGTAAGAATGTGATGAGTTTGGCATGTAACAATGATAGTATGACTTTTTATTTCGATTCTAAAAGACTTATGAGTCATATTTTGGTATTTTTATAGTTTTATATTCTTACCTAGAGAGTACTCCCTTGCGATATTCCTCTCTCCTCAAATTAAATTATATATTTCAAAAAACTAGTAAAATTTTATATTTTTAAATTTAATTTATTTACAAAAACATAGAAATAAAAAATAAAATGTACGGAGTATATATTTAAAAAATACATCAAAAGTTATACTCCCACCGTCCCGCTATATTCGTCCACTTTTGACTTTTGTAACTGTTCATCTAAGCACTTTGACTCATCAAATTCTCTCAATGTGTAAGCCTAAATATAGTCATGTGTGATCTTGTTTGATTTGTCTTAACATATAGATTATTAATATATAATTTATATAATTTTTTAATATACAAATTTCAAGATAAAATGGATTAAAGAAGTGTATTGGATGGTGTGTAAAAATGAAAGTGAACAAATACTCTGGGACGGAGGTAGTACAAAATTAGTAGCGATAGAATTCTTTAATTTATTAAAGGTTGATAAAATATTGAAACAAATAAAATTTACGGAGTATAAGGAAGTCAGATTAATAACTGTGTAATATATTTTGAGAAAAAAACAGTAGAACTGGCAAATCGGTCGGTTAGGTCAAGTTCGGGTTCAGTCACTTTGGTTTCGGGTTACTTCGGATTCGGATAAGTTCGTTTTCGGATTGACAACTACATATTCATGAACCAGTGTCATCGGGTTCGGGTTGACCCAACGGGTTACGAGTTTCATTTACCCCGAGTATTTTTTTGAAATTTTAAGTAATTTTAATGACCTAGAGTCAATATTATGAATAATAAAATTAATATGTAGAAATTTTGAAAGAATGTGAGATAGTTATGCGATATCATCATTAAAATGTATTATGAAAATATAAATCTATACAAAAAACGAGTAGTAACAAAGAATATAATTATAATCTTATTTTTATAATATTATATTTCATATTAGCGGGTCGATCAAGTTATGTTTGGGTTCAGTTAGGTTTGACCCATTTTTAACGGGTCATTTCGGGTTCAGACAAGTTCGGGTTCGATCAGCAAAACTTATGTTCAAAACCTTGTATTTTCGGGTCAAGTTTCGAATCAAAAATAAGTCAAATCATTTTTTGTCAGAAATAGTATTAAGATACAGAACAGTTGTTATTTTTATTATTTACATCGGTGTTGAGATACAATTGATTGTACATGACATTTTTTAGACGCACTATATTTTACTCTCTATCATGTTTTATGAAGTGTTTGGTTCATTTGTAATGCATTGATGGATATTTTACAATTAACACATAAAAAATTGTGGAGATACAATTGTCCTATATTAAATCTCATATCAATTAAGTAAAATTGTGCAATTTTAAAATTAATGAGTAATATAAATCAAATGATATACATTCGGAGAGGTACCCATAATATTGGAATCTCATGTGATGGAATGACCCGAGGCTGTTACGGACGCCTACGGTGTCCCGTTCGTAAAATTGACGATTCTTACTTTCTAATCCCTCTATCCATTCAATTACAATTTCAATTTAATCTTAACTTTGGAGTCAAAATGTTGACTCCAAAATCAAAAAATAACTTGGGAGTGTAATTAAGTTGGTGGGAGTGTGTTCAAGTCGGAGCGTCGTGAGAAGGTTTCACAGGGTGTTAGAGCATTGGCCCATGCCACATCAGACTTTTTAAGGCATTAGCGAGGCGAGCCAAGCCGTGTCACCCCTCTTTGTGAGGCATCACCAACTCACCGAGGCAAGGACTATACCCCTTTTTTTGTTTCAATTGTTTTCTCCAATTTACTCTTTTCTTTCTTTTTTCTGCTCTTTCTCTCTCTTTGTGAAGATTCGTACTCTAGTACGAGTATATAAATTGGCAACTCAAAACAAAACTAGTTATAAACTGGGTTGCTACAATTTTGTAAAGCCAATTTTTGGAGAATAAAGTATACTTTTTTATTGACGAATTGGGTTCTATTTTTTTCAAAAATCTAAAATCAACTTGATTTAAAATTTCATATCCTCAAAAGAAAGAAATTAAACAAGCTTTTAACGAATGTAGTAGTAATATTCTTTAATGATAAAATATATGACAAAATACAGAGTAGTTTTTATTAATCACAATACATCATTTTTTTTTGGAAAAAGATAAAAAGAATGACTTGCCATTGTAGGGGTTGCTACTCCACACACATGACACTCAATGACTAGACTGTTTCTTATTGGTTGAAATACGCCACGTCAGCGTGTGTCATTTCATTTCTCTACTTGTCATTGTTCATGCATAACATGAGATTTCTACTATATTATACCCCAGTAATAAAGTTATTAATTACAAAAATTGATTAATGTGAAATAATCCGTATATTAAAAAAAGAATGAGAGAACCTGGTTGGCATTAAATGTTTGAGCATTGATGAAAGCATTTGGGCATTATCAGTGAGGGAATGTATGTGTCCCGAATAATTGATTGTACATGACATTTTTTAGACGCACATATATTTTACTCTCTCTCACAATGAGTACAGCAAAAAAAACTTACTCTAAGTTGTACCCCAAAAAATATATCGACATTTGTATGGTTTACACTAGCACAAAATATTAGTTCAATTCAAAAAAATTATATTAACATTTTTGTCAATGTAAATTATCATTTTAGCATCACACTAACAAAAAATATCAGTGTATACCATTGAAGTATAAAATGAAGTACAAATTTTGATGTACAAATAGTTTAATCATTTTGTATGTATTGTTTGGTCGAGTGTGTAATGCATTGTTGTTAGGTTTACTCGTGTGTTTGGTTTTGAAATGATAGGGCCATTATTGTCACGAGAATGGATTTTCTTGCTTTTTTTTTTAAATTTGAATTAAGCTATTTGTACCACAATAAAGATTTGTATCTCAAATTGTATATTACATCTCTTCCTCTATTTATGTTAGTTTGATTTTTGGCTTTTGAAGTTGATCGTTTGATTGGAAAACCGAATTTTGAAAGAAATATTTGCACCAAATAGCACTAAAACTTAAGTCATTTCTCTAAATAGTACTTAAATGGTTTTATTCCCTAAATAGCACTTAATAATGTCCATAATGAGTTGTGATGACAAACATTTACTTACATAATGACTAATGGATAATGACTAAAAGTGCTACATTGGAAAAAAAACACATATAGTGCTATTTAGGGAAAGTCATTATGTTTTAGTGCTATTTACGCAAATTCCTCATTTTGAAAAACTATAAGATTAAAGAGTGGCTCTTTTGATTGGTTGCTAGACAAAAAAATGGAATGTTTTTCACTACCTTCATCCCAAAATATTTGTCTAATTTTGATTTTTTTAATTAATTATTTTCAATCTTTGATCTATAATTAAATAAAATACACATTGTATATTAATTATATAAAATAATATTTTGAAAATATTTTATATAAGAAATCTAATAAAATTATATTTGTATCAATATATAATGTTATTTTTATTTAATTTGAAGTCAAAGTTTACTTATTTTTACAAAAAAATCCAAAGTGGACAAAATACTCCGGGACGAAGGGAGTACTATCTTGCATAAAAAGTAAATAAAATTAATTAAATAATTAATTAGTGTGTTGTTTTTTATATTTATTTGGTTTCTGTTTATTTATACGGAGTATCTAATTAGTGCATTCATTCTCCCAAAAAAATTCATAATATTGGAAACCTTACATAATTCACACATCCTCTTTTCACATTTTTTAAAATTCATTTCGATTAAAAAATCAAATTTATTTTTTATTAAACTTATAAAAACATAACTGCATATAAATAATATAATAAAGATTTAATTCATGCTTGGATAACTTAGAAAATTTAATAAGGCATTCTTATGAAAAATTTACTTAAATAATACTAAAATATAGTGACTTTTTCAATGTAATACAGAGTATGATATATTTTTATTTCTCAATGTAGTACCAATGTTCAATGTCCACTGGTTATTGTTTAAGTAAATGTCGACCGATACTGGATATTGTTCAAACTAAATGTCCACCATCACTAGACACTGTTCACACCACTAGATATTTTTCAAGTACTATTTAAGAAATTAAAAAGTTAAAATGCTACATTGGGAAACTACATACTCCGTATATTTTAGTGTTATTCAGTGCAAGTTTCACTTAACTTATTACAAATAAATAGGAGTAATTTTTAATTTATAAATAACTTAAAAATAATCAGTGAAATATTTATATAAATTGGCTTATAAATAACGAATGAGTATTTGAAGTGTTTCTGAAATCACCTTTCAAATTCTAAAAAAGATATGAGATGACTATTTTACCCTTACACCATTTACCTAATGTTCCACCACCATTGAAAACAACCGTCTGCATTCGGTAAAAAAAATTAGGCCCAAATTTGTTTTTCCGTTTGCCGCTACATGGAAAGCCTGTCAACATAGACGACCCCGGTAAAGCCCAAACGATTCATGGGTTAGGCCTGAGCCCATTTTTGAAATCAGAAAAAGCAGCATATTAAAATCTCCAAGCTTTGTTTCAAGCACTTCAATGAACCAATTGTTTCAAGCGTTGTTTCAAGCACTTCACTGAACTAGTTGTGGATATTATCGTGCAACTTTGTATATGTCATGTAGAATTTACTATTGTTTCTTGTAATTGAATAGTTTTAACCTTTTTTAAAAATAAAAAAAAAGAATCATGTAATGCACTTTGAAGTAATTATTTTATAAACTATTCCATATTAAAATAGGAAGTAGTTTAAGATGCATGGAGTGATCTGAGTGGGTTCTCTGTGATTATAAGCTAATCAAAACTGTTTATAAGCAATTTCTAACTTATAAGTAAGTTCATGACATATTTTTGCGTACTTATAAGTAATTTTTAACTTATAAGTATTCCCTCCGTCTCATTCTATATTGCCTGTTTTGAATTTGAGGCATATTTAAGAGAGTGAAAAAATATTATTAATTTTCCAAAAATGCCTTTATTTTTTTAGGAGGATGATGATGAATGAGAAGACAATGTGAAAATGAATAACTTATTTTAAGGATAATTTATGTATTTTATCCTTAAAAGTTTACTATAATAAGAAACAGAAATTTATTCTAGGACGGGCAAAAAAAACATAACAATTTAAAATGAGACAAAGGGAGTAATTTTTAACTTATAAGTTATAAGTAAGCTAAGTCCTAAATAAACTATGAATAAACAACGAAGAAAAGGAGAATAATCCAAATTGGACAATGTAGCGGGGACCGTTTAGTCCGTTACAAAATGGATGTGATTTTTCAATTTACCAAGCGAAACGAATGTTTTGTACCATAAATATGTGGTACATCTGTACAATTGTTCCAAAATATTCAGATAACAATTTAATTTTAAGTACTTAAGAAGAAGAAGAAAGAAACCCATTAGACGTTTACTGAGTTGAAATATGAAGCTCCTTCACCATTTTAGGCTTCCGTAGCAGTTGATCAGATTTCTGAACCAGAGTTGTGTAAAGAGATGTGTTAGAACCCAACATAAATTAGTGTGTTACTTTCTCTGTACAGTGCATGAACTCCGGAATTGTTCAAAAGAGTTGGAAGAAAAGGCTAGTTGATCCATCTCCGAAAGACTGTAGATCAGTGGCTCTAACCAAGGCTCTGCACAGAGGACAAGTTCGTTCTCTTTCAAACCTGCACAAACATAGGTCTGATGATGTTTGGCAGTTGAGATCAAAGGTATGATGTTGCTGAAATCACAGAGGAAGCCTCTGTGATTTCAACATCATCATGGCCATCGAAATGAATTGGGGACAAAGTTGTAAAATAAGATGTGATAAAGAAAAGCCAACCATTCAGAGACACAGTCTTCGCAAAAGATGTGGTTGCAGCGCAAGAGAATGGGTGCCTGCATCTTCTCCTGGCAAATAGCACACATATCACCCGATGCGTTAACCTGCAATGGATCATTGTAAGTTAGTTTGTGTTGGATGGCCTTTTATAAGTTGTCAGAAGCAGGGTAGAGTTCTTGGGTGGGGTGGGGTGGGGTGGGGGGCATGTGTTCTACTGTGTTTCCCTTTCCCCTTTCCTATGCCACTGCCTTTTATTCTATTTCTGTTTATTGGCTTTATCAGTCTTTCAATAGAAAGCTGATTTATTTGGCTGTGTAACCTGAACTAGTTATTGATGAAAAAGAATAGAGGAGAAGGTACTGTTTTGGCAAATCTTATGAAATACTTGAAAATGATATTTTTTAGGGCAATTTGGGGTGGAATTTATCAGTATTTAATGGAATTATGGAGAGTATATTCTGAAATAGATGATGAAAATTGCAATGAAGAAATGCCACCATCTAAGGGCATCAATACAGGTTTGGATGATAACTACTCGGCATACGGTTGACACTTTAGGTATACAATTCAGTCACTGACAGTACACTTTTCCAACAAGAAATTGCCTGTTGAGATGCACCTTTATCCCACAACTAAGAGTTTGTTCTTTTCAACTTATTTTTAAAAAAATTCAGTACTTTTCAGTCCAACACTTTTGGAGTGGGAATTAAAAGCAAATTATTCAGCTTCGGATCCAGTTCAACACTTCACATTTTGATCCAATAGAGCAAGATCTGATCAGCAAACACCAACGCCACCACCAACAACAATAGTACACCAATGCCTTAGAGGCTCCTGCTCGTTGCGGGGAGGGGGGGGAGGATGTACGCAGCCTGACCCCTATGTTTAATAGAGGATGGCTGTTTCCAGCTGACCTATGATACATTGATGCGTGTTGAAAGTTGTGTTGACTGACTGATACTTCACCATTAAAAGAAGTCATACAATTTAAAGAGTCATTTTGCTCTACCCCATTATACCCCAAAGCCAAAAATAGTGAATCTTTGGCTTTATAAGAGATGGAAAATAGCAAGTTTTAATCAGCAAAATTATTTTATTTATAAAACAAAAAATAGGCAGGTTACTGTGCCCCATCCCACAAAAAATGGCTGGTATATGTTAGCCTTTTTACTCTCGTAGGTACAAATAACACACACTTAAAAGTTTCAAGCAGAACGGCACAATACTTGTTCAGGTGTAGCATAAGCTCCATAGTGGACATCTTTCTTTGATAGTGCCTTCAAAGCAGTGAAGAAGGATTGGACCTAATCAGAATCACAACATACAAGCAGGATAGTGATTAACAAACCTGAAAGGCCATAAGAAAGATCTGCATTTAAGATTTCATTTTGCAGGCTTGGGTGGTTCAAACTTAATTACCTTCTCAACTATTGTTGTAAGCTTGAATGTTAAGTACAACCCAGTGGTCAGTGATGAAAATAGGCTCCCATATTCTTTATTGAGAAAGAATCTATACCAGACTGGAGTGGGTAACAATGCGCGGTATAGCAACAGGGTATACTCAACTAGTGTTAGCATTTGGCCCT